TGCTTGAGTTTATCCCTCTACATCATGTCATCTTGTCTAATGCGTTACTTTGTTCTTTTGAACTTAATACTCTAGATGCATGCTGGATAGCGGTCGATGTGTGGAGTAGTAGTAGTAGATGCAGAATCGTTTCGGTCTACTTGACACGGACGTGATGCCTATGGTCATGATCATGCCTAGATATCATCATAACTATACGCTTTTCTATCAATTGCTTGGCAGTAATTTGTTCACCCACCGTAATATATGCTATCTTGAATGAAGCCACTAGTGAAACCTATGGCCCATGGGTCTACTTTACATCATATAAGTTTCCGATCTACAATTCTAGTTTACTATTTATTTTGCAATCTTTACTTTTCAATCTATACAACAAAAATACCAAAAATATTTATCTTATTATCTCTACCAGATCTCACTTTCGTAAGTGACCGTGATGGGATTGACAACCCCTTTATCGTGTTGGTTGCGAGGTTCTTGTTTGTTTGTGCAGGTACTAGGTGACTTGCGTGTAGTCTCCTACTGGATTGATACCTTGGTTCTCAAAAACTAAGAGAAATACTTACGCTACTTTGTTGCATCACCCTTTCCTCTTCAAGGGAAAACCAACGCACGCTCAAGAGGTAGCACATTCCTTAATGGATATCTTAAAGAAGAGTTGTATATGATGCAACCAGAAGGTTTTGTCGATCCAAAAGGTGCTAACAAAGTGTGTAAGCTCCAGTGATCCATTTATGGATTGGTGCAAGCATCTCGGAGTTGGAATATACACTTTGATAGTGTGATCAAAGCATATGGTTTTATATAGACTTTTGGAGAACCTGTATTTACAAGAAAGTGAGTGGGAGCTCTGTAGCATTTCTGATATTATATGTGGATGACATATTATTGATTGGAAATCATACTGAATTTCTGAATAGCATAAAAGGATACCTGAATAAGAATTTTTCAATGAAAGACCTCGGTGAAGATCCTTATATATTGGGCATCAAGATCTATAGAGATAGATCATGATGCTTAATTGGAATTTCACAAAGCACATACCTTGACAAAGTTTTGAAGAAGTTCAAAATGGATCAAGCAAATAAAGGGTTCTTGCCTGTGTTACAAGGTGTGAAGTTGAGTCAGACTCAATGCCCGACCACTGCAGAAGATAGAGAGAAAATGAAAGCCATTATCTATGCTTCAGCCATAGGTTCTATCATGTATGCAATGCTGTGTACCAGACCTGATGTGTGCCTTGCTATTAGTTTAGCAGGGAGGTACCAAAGTAATCCAGGAGTGGATCACTGGACAGCGGTCAAGAATATACTGAAATACCTAAAAAGGACTAAGGATATGTTTCTCATTTATTGGAGGTGACAAAAGAGCTCGTCTTAAACGGTTACGTCGATGCAAGCTTTGACGCTGATCCGGATGACTCTAAGTCACAAACTGGATAAGTATTTTTATTGAATGGTGGAGTTGTCAGTTGGTGCGGTTCTAAGCAAAGCGTCGTGGCGGGATCTACGTGTGAAGCGGAATACATAGCTGCTTTAGAAGCAACAAATGAAGGAGTCTGGATGAAGGAGTTCATATCCGATCTAGGTGTCATACCTAGTGCATCGCATCCAATGAAAATCTTTTGTGACAATACTGGTGCAATTGCCTTGGCAAAGGAATCCAGATTTCACGAGAGAACCAAGCACATCAAGAGACGCTTCAATTCCATCCGCAATCAAGTCAAGGAAGGAGACATAGAGATTTGCAAGATACATACGGATCTGAATGTTGCAGACCCGTTAACTAAGCCTCTCTCACGAGCAAAACATGATCAACACCAAGGCTCCATGGGTGTTAGAATCATTACAATGTAATCTAGATTATTGACTCTAGTGCAAGTGGGAGACTGAAGGAAATATACCCTAGAGGCAATAATAAAGTTGTTATTTATATTTCCTTATATCATGATAAATGTTTATTATTCATGCTAGAATTGTATTAACCAGAAACTTAGTACATGTGTGAATACATAGACAAACAAAATGTCACTAGTATGCCTCTACTTGATTAGCTCGTTAATCAAAGATGGTTAAGTTTCCTAGCCATAGACATGAGTTGTCATTTAATGAACGGGATCACATCATTAGAGAATTATGTGATTGATATAACCCATTCGTTAGCTTAGCACTATGATCGTTTAGTTTATTGCTATTGCTTTTTTCATGACTTATACATGTTCCTATGACTATGAGATTATGCAACTCCTGAATACCAGAGGAACACTTAGTGTGCTATCAAATGTCACAACATAACTGGGTGACTATAAAGATGCTCTATAGGTGTCTCCGATGGTGTTTGTTGAGTTGGCATAGATCGAGATTAGGATTTGTCACTCCGTGTATCTGAGAGGTATCTCTGGGCCCTCTCGGTAATACTCATCACTATAAGCCTTGCAAGCAATGTGACTAATGAGTTAGTTGCGGGATGAAGTATTACGGAACGAGTAAAGAGACTTGCCGGTAACGAGATTGAACTAGGTATGATGATACCAACGATCAAATCTCGGACAAGTAACATACCGATGACAACGGGAACAATGTATGTTGTTATGCGGTTTGACTGATAGAGATCTTCATAGAATATGTAGGAACCAATATGAGCATCTAGGTTCCGCTATTGGTTATTGACCAGAGATGAGTCTCGGTCATGTCTACAGAGTTCTCGAACCCGTAGGGTCCGCACGCTTAACGTTCGATGATGATATATATTATGAGTTATGTGATTTGATGTACCGAAGATAGTTCGGAGTCCCGGATGTGATCACAGACATGACAAGGAGTCTCAAAATGGTCGAGACATAAATATTAATATATTGGAAGGCTATGTTTGGACACCGGAAAGATTTCAGATAGGTTCGGGCATTTTCTGGAGTACCGGGAGGTTACCGGAACCCCGTGGGGGAGTTAATGGGCCTTAACGGGCCATGGTGGGAGAGAGGAGGAGGCGGCCAAGTGGGAGGCGCGCGCCCCCCAAGCCCAATCCGAATTGGGAGGGGGGCCGACCCCCCTTTCCTTCTCTCCCTCTCACTCTTCCTTCTTCTCCTACTCCAACTAGGGAAGGGGGGAAACCTACTCCTACTAGGAGTAGGAATCCCCCCCTTGGGCGCGCCATATAGGAGGTCGGCCTCCCCTCCACTCCTTTATATACGGGGGAAGGGGGCACCCCATAGACACACAAGTTGATCTCTTAGCCGTGTGCGGTGCCCCCTCCACATATTTCCACCTCAGTCATATTGTCGTAGTGTTTAGGCGAAGCCCTGCGTCGGTAACTTCATCATCACCGTCAACACGCCGTTGTGCTGACGAAACTCTCCCTCGGCCTCAGCTGGATCTAGTGTTCGAGGGACATCACCGAGCTGAACGTGTGCAGATCGCGGAGGTGCCGTGCGTTCGGTAATTAATCGGTTGGATCGCGAAGACGTTCGACTACATCAATCGCGTTACTTAACGCTTCCGCTTTCGGTCTACAAGGGTACGTAGACACACCCTCCCCTCTCATTGCTATGCATCCCTAGGTAGATCTTGCGTGATCGTAGGATTTTTTTGAAATACTGCGTTCCCCAACAAGATCCACATCATTCTTGCCAGTCCAGCCATCCGTCAACGCCATCATCGCCTACGCTCGTCCATCCAGATGCGAAGACTCTAGAAAATCCCTCGTCCGTAGCACCTGCCGAATAGACATGACACAGTGTAACACCTGTCGACCAGGCATGACTTGACATCTTCACCAAAGCTCCGTGCAAGATGAAGCCGCTCCACCTCTTCCTCTGTCTTCCGGCGCTGCTCCACAAACAATGCTTCCAAGAGAGAAACGACACCGCAGTGCTGCCATCGTCCGATCTGGAAGACCAGATCTTAAGGTTTCCCCCGGAGCAGCACGAGTAGCTCGACAGTAGTTACACGACGATGCCTTCATCAAGGCAATAATGACATAGAACATCGCCATCGCGTGCCGTCGACTCGATTTTCACCGGCAACTATGTCCCCCGGCTCGCAGCCGGGACTAGATGACGGATCTCAAGATTCGACCAACTAGAAATCAGTTTGCACGTGGTGAGAATTCGAATGCATGGACGGTGGACTTTTACAACACCGCGTTGAATGAAGAAAGAAAAAAGTTCAAACGCGCCAGTCCATACTTTTGCGGGAGCGCTTGAGGGGCTGTAATAAGTCAGCTTAATACTTGTGGGAACTTCTTACACCGCTTCGCTTCAACAACCGTCCGAGAAAGGCGATTGGGTTGGCGAACCGCTGCTCCCAGCCTTCGTCCACGTCGCCGCCGGTCCCTGCCTCCTCGGTCGTCTTATCCGGTGACTGGAGGGGGTGGGGACCTTGGTGATTTGGCTGGTGTAGTACTCCTTCTGGTCGGTTCCACGTGCATGCTTTGTATTCTTCTTATTTCTGATTAATGATACACGTGATTACCTCAAAATAAAAAGTCTGCTTAATACAGAGAGAGCAGAGTAAACCGATGCCGCACTAAGAAATACTCCCTCCGTTCCATAATGTAGCGCATATAGATTTTCTACAAAGTCAAACTTTATAAACTTTGACCAATTTTATAGAGAAAACTATTTATATCTACAATACCAAATGTATATAATATGAAAGTATGTGTTGTGATGTATCTAAGCATACGTATTTGGTATTCTAGATGTATATGATTTTCTCTACAAACTTGGTCAAAGTTTATAAAGTTTGACTTCTAGAAAAATTTATATGCGCTACATTGTGGAACAGAGGGAGTACTGATAGCAAAGTCTGGCTCAACGTCATGCATGACGAATCACTTGATCATAGAGCACGTGATCGAAAACCAACTATATAGTACTGTAAAAAAAATTAGCACGTGATCATAAACCAACTATATAGTACCCCAGTAGTACTGTGAAAAGTCTAGCCGCCATTTATCAGTGGTCACCACTACTCGCTGGTAGGAGTACTACGCCAGTCGGCATGGAGGAGGAGCTGACGCTGGTGGGGTACTGGTCGAGCCCGTTCGTTCTGCGCGCGCGCTTCGCCCTCAACCTCAAGGGCCTCCCCTACGCGTACGTGGAGGAGGTGGGCCTCTTCGACGGCAAGAGCCCGCTCCTCCTCGCCTCCAACCCCGTGCACAAGAGGGTGCCGGTGCTCATCCACAACGGCAAGCCCGTCCCCGAGTCGCAGCTCATCGTGCAGTACCTCGACGAGGCTTTCCCGGCCAGCTCCCCGCGCCTCCTCCCTCGCAACCCGCACGAGCGCGCCGTCGCCCGCTTCTGGGCCTCCTACGTCGACGGCGAGCTGCTCAGCGCGTGGCTGCCCGTCTACGGCGGACGCACCGGCGAGGAGAGGGCGGAGGCGGCGGGGCGGGTCGGCGCCGCCCTGGAGACGCTGGAGCGAGCGTTTGGGGAGTGCTCCAAGGGGAAGGGCTTCTTTGGCGGGGACACGGTGGGGCTCGTGGACGTCGTGCTCGGCGGCTTCGTCGGGTGGCTGCACACGTCCGAGGCCATGTGCGGCGTGAGGCTGCTCGACGCCGCCGCGACGCCGCTGCTGGCGGCCTGGGCGAAGCGGTTTCGCGCGCTCGACGGCGTCAAGGAGGTGATGCCGGATGCGCAGAGGCTGCTCGAGTACAACCTGATGAGGCGAGCTCGCCTCGGGCTGCCGCCGACCTCGCCGCCGCCGTCACAGCACCAATAGATAGATTTATATCTTTATCTTTATCTTTACCTCTTTATCTTTATCTTTATCTTTATCTTTACCTCTTTATCTTTATCTTTACTCTTTACCTTATATATACATATATATATATATATTATAATATAATATAATATAAGTAAGTATATATATATATATATATATAATATAATATATAATAAAGCAAATAGTGCTTCTGGTCGTCCGTCATAGAAATTGCACTCGAATTTGGCATAAATTACCCGCCATGCCATCCATAAGTAACATGATTCGAATTTATTTCAAAATCACCGCGGGTTTATTTCTTAAAGAGTGATACACTTATATTACACAATCCTCCGGTAGCGCAATGGCCATGGCGTCGGCCTACCACGCAGGAGACCAGTGTTCGATCCCTGGTTCTTACACCTTTTTGCCACGCAGGTCTTCCACCCCCGCGCGCTAATAGGCCGGCCCATAATTGGCTGGGGGTGGGCCTTTTACTATTCTTTTTTTTTTTGCTTCTTATTTCCTTATTTCTGTTTTTATTTTTTCTTATTTAAATTAATTCAGGATTTTTTAAAGAATAAAATTCCGAAAAGCTGCGGGATTTATTGAGAAGTAATAAAATATTCATGATTTCCTTTTTGC